TGTGCTTCCTAGCTTTTCCCACATGTTTTGAGTTCCATTAGATGAGTGATACACTTTAATCCAATGATCAACTAAATCATTGCTTTACGAATAAAAACAATCACTACAAGACTACCTCATTTTGGTGGGACTAAAGATTTTGCATCAATAATTTTCAGTTACAGTGTTGACATGACAATCTTTGCCCGTGACTCCATGGTGGTTGAAATGTCAAAGGGCTTAGATCCTACTTCCGAACTTGAGGGTTAAAAAGATTTTGCATCAATAATTTAATATATAATTTTTTATATGGTAAGACAAACACACATCTATATTTTTTCTTTTAAGAGAGCCCGAACACTCAATTCAGAGATCGAACACTCAATTCAGAGATCGAATTCTATAATTACTGAATTTAATTTTTTTGAGTGAAGTGATGACAGTGTTGACATGCCAATCTTTGCCCGTGATTCCATGGTGGTTGAAATGTCAAAGGGCTTAGATCCTAGTTCCGAACTTGAGGGTTAGAAAGATTTTGCATCAATAATTTAATATATAATTTTTTATATGGTAAGACAAACACACGTCTATATTTTTTCTTTTAAGAGAGCTCTAATGCTCAATTCAGAGATCGAACACTCAATTTAGAGATTGAATTCTATAATTACTGAATTTAATTTTTTTGAGTGAAGTGATGACATTACTATACTAAATTCGATCCTTAAATCATTATTTATACACGCTTATATTTTGCTTTTACTGAAACTTGAAAACTCAACCTCCGAAGAGATATAATATAATCTAGACTAGAGCCATTTCCCAGGATATTTGTTCATTTGGTTAAAGGGCATACTTGGGAGGGACTCACCTCATTTGTAAATTGTTACCGTTACACACCTATATGAATTTGTCGATTTGCACTTTCATTTAAATTCGTTACACAACAATCGATACCACGACTGCAAATCATAATTTGCTACGTATCATTTTGGGCATGTTTCAAGTTAGTACTTTAGGTATATATATATATATATATATATAGTGCTTTTACATGGTTGTACACACATAAAGACCTAGGTCACAAAAAACTAGTACTTTTTCATCATCTATGTATTTAACTCCCTCCAAAAAAAAAAAAAAAGGTAATAAGTTATTAATTAATATTCGACAAATTAGATAAAAATAAAAATATATATATTTTATTAATTAAAATATATATTTAAATTTTACATCGAAATAAACATAATTTAGTGTTATTTTTTAAACATTTTAAACTAGAAAGTTAACGGTTTAATTTTTCATGAGCCCAGCAGAGGGGTGAGTTATTTTGCCGGAATAAAAGATAATAAATAATTCACTTCAAAAAAGAATAAAAAATACAACTGCTGATTTTGTCATATTTAGATCAGTTGACTGATCAGACGGTCAAGCGTTGCGTTAGACCGGGTAAAGGTGTCTATTTATAACAGCTGAGTTATGATAATTCTAATATCTGAGCTCATAATAATAAAAGCAGTCAAATTTGGTTGTCTGAGGGAATAAAATAGTTTATTCAACAATAATACAAAAACTTAAGTTAATCCACGTGATGGCCATACATTAGTGACTGATGATGACAAGATCAAAACAATTAACGGTTCAATTTAAATTACTTTATTAACCCTAACAATCTGATCGTACAACTGGGTAGCATGATCGGACGGTGATGGAGATTCCAACTACCAAGAGTTAGGCATGTCAATATCAATGGATCACGAATATGAAAAGCAACTGTCCCTTGCATGAGATAGAAGACTGCTGAAACGTGACACATGATCACGTCCGCCCTTATTATGATTTACCCTAATAATTTTAAATTAACAATAATTACATAAATCCGTTAAATTGTTAGGTTGCAAGTATGTTGAATTTTCGATGTAAATATTTTGTGTAAGTGTTATATTATTTTTTTTTGAAAATTTTATAGTGTTACATTATTGTTGGATGGCAAATTTTATTTTGTGATATAGTGTATTGTATAGTTAAAGAATGACATGGAATGAAATAAGGTACGTAAGAGAAATTCCGTCCTTTTTGTTAAATATAAGAATTACGTTATTTTAAATATAATATTGCATGCAATATTTAAAAAATTAACACTATGGTTTCGAGATTGTTATCTAGTAATTTTAAAATTACAACACGGGTTACTTTAAGAATAAATATGTGTTTTAAGTATTTTAAAAAATAAACTTGCTGTATTCTTAAAATAACATTTGTGTTGCATTATTACAATAATTGATATTATACGTGTTGCAGGGGTATGTCGGTATATAAGTTTTTTTGTCAAGAGGGAAAAAAAGGAGTTAATAATATTTATTACATATAAAAAAAATATATGTAGGAAGGCTTGTAATTAAGAAGATGGAGAGTGAAATTCCAAAAATGAATCTATTATTAAGCATTCACATCCTCTTTCCAACTATTGACTTACTTGACATGAGGAGTTCACCAAACTTCTCCCATTCAATGAATTAATGGTATTTCTATTGTGATGTGATCCGTTGGTGACTAATAAAATTTTGTGAGCGGCAATCTTTTAATTTGTACAGCTAAATTTATATGGTGGTTCATTTTTATAATTTTAATATAATTTTTTTTTTATAAAATTTTAAAAATTTAAAGTACAAAATACGAAAATATATATATTAGTGGGTGTGAATTGTAATTTTAGTTAGAGCCTTTTAACAAATTCTTAAACATTTTAAATATAAAATGTAAAATAAAATAAAAAATTCAGTAGTCAATTGTAATTTTAGTGAGGTATCTTCATAAATTCTAAAAAAATGAAAATATAAAAAATCCTAGGTTTTGTTTTTTTTTTTTTTTTTTTAAATAAATTAATGATCAATAATGTAAGCCTATAAGAGGAATATGATGAAAGAAGAAAATTTATTTACATTACTGTTTATATTATCTCGTTTTAAAAGGTATGGTAAAAAAACCAGGCCAAAAGTGTTCCCCACCTTACCAATCATAAGTTCGATTGCCAGAAAAAAAAAAATAATAATAATTTCGTGCTAATACTAAACCATTCCCTCCCTATTTTTACTTTCCAAATATAATATCACTAATATCACCGATTTGTAATAACAAAGCGTAATTACCAAAAAAAAAAAAACCTCTAGACTCGTCAAAAATTATTTGTTTAACAATGTTATAGATAATGTGGACGGATTTTCTTGTTGTCGATGGAGCAAGAGATTACAATGTTCACTATAGAAAGTGTGGATAAATTTTCTTACTCAATGTGGGACAAAAGATTAAAATTTATTTACTCAACAATGTTATAGAAAGTATGAATAAATTTTCTTGCTTCCATTTAGACAAGAGATCACTGCTATATGTGTGTGTGTATATATATATGCATTGTTTATGTTTCTTCTTAAATTAAATGATCATACATACCTCTATTACTTGATTTTTCATTAATTAAATTAAAAATAATAATGATATTTTTATCAACGTCACTCTATCCTTGTCCATCATCTTGAATGTAAAATATTTATGTGCCATGATGTCCAACATGTTACAAGGCTCACATTTCACCATAATGGTATTTTTATCCATAAGTCAGTTGGTACATTTTGTAAGGGTATTATTTATTTATTTGAGAGTTAATAATATCTAAAGCAAAATTATACAAATAAAAATTTGGGTAAAATACTGCCACACCCCATGAGGTTTGGTAAAAGGACACTTAGATGAAACTTATTTATTTTTTGGACAAATACACCCCTGAAGGTTAAAAAATGAACAAAGACACCCCTTTACATAAAAAATTAACCAAATTATCCTTTGACCATTAAGGAGACTTTTTTAACTTTACAATTTAATAAATTGGACCAATCTACCCTTATGAACAATTTATACATAAAAAACACTAAAAAAAAAAAAAAAAATTTATATCGTTCAATTTTTTTTTTTTTGTTATTTACTTTATAAATGTCCTAACTTCTTAAAAATGTATACGTCTAAAATGATTTTTTGATCCAATACATATATTTCAAACAGGTACCATCTTAACTTTATGCATGCCTTTGTTTTTTTTTTCCCTTTTGTTTTATTATTTTTTTCCCTTTGTTTTATTATTATTATTTTTTTCTCTTTTATGTTGGAAAATGCATAATATTTTATATATAATTTAAGATGTATAAAGTTATACTGGTATCATATTTTTTATTTTTAAGGAAAAGAGATTGGTTTAATTTTTTTAGATGAAAGAATTAAGCATCTTAATTTAAAAACAAAAAAGAAAAAGAAAAGAAGTAATAACAAAATATAATTTATTTGAAATATATGTATTGAATCAAAAAATCATTTTAGATATTTACATTTTTAAGAAGTTGGGACATTTATAAAATAAATAACAAAAAAAAAAGGTGAAAAATATAACGGTTTATTTATTTATTTTTTTATGCATAAATTATTCATGAGGGTAGATTGGTCCAATTTATTAAATTGTAAAGTTAAAAAAGTCTCCTAAATGGTCAAAGGATAATTTGGTCAATTTTTCATGTAAAGGGGTGTCTTTGTCCATTTTTGAATCTTCAAGGGATATCTTTGTTCAAAAAACAGGCAAATTTCTTTTCAGTATTCTTTTATCAAATTTCGGAGGTGTGGCTGTACTTTACCTTAAAAAAAGCTTTCCATTTATAATTGGTGTAATAAAAAATGGATGGAATGGATTACTGAAAAATCACTAAATCAGGGACCAGATTGCAAACTGTCAGAAACTTCAGGGGTTCATTTGTGATATAACAGAACTATCAGTGGTCTGTTACAAGCTGTAAGCAATGGGCTGTCGTGGAAGCAAATCTCGTGATATACAATATTGACGATGAATCAGCAGCATTGATACTCAACTTCAGCCGTACATAATGGCAGTCGCGTAAAAACACATAAGATGATGGGCAATAAGTTACCATCTGTCTCTGAATTCACGAAATCTGTATTTTATAATTCGAGAGAGGACTTTCGCTCGCAATTCTCTCTCTATATATATCCAACTGAAACATATGAGCTCCTCACAGCTCACACCCCTCTTTCTCTCTCCCTACGATTTTCCAGGATTCCCAGTCTGTTCTCCCTCTATATATTCTCTCTCTAGTCTCTCTCTATCCTCTCTCTGTCTCTCTCCTCTCTGAGGAGCTAGTGACAGAAAGGATCGTCATTTTTCGATCTGTTAATTTCTGAGAGTTCGAGGTAGGAGGAGAGAGAAAATGGCTTCCGAGCAGAAAAATGTGGGGATTCTGGCCATGGAAATCTATTTCCCTCCTACTTGTCTCCAACAGGTGAAGAAATTTAATCCATCTCTTTTTCTGTTGTTTAAATTCGATCAAGATCGTTGATTCTTCTTTGGCTTGTTTGGTTCAGAAGCTTTAAGCGTACTTTTTGGTTCAATTTTCTGAAAAATCAATTTAGGTTTTTATGTTTTGGGAAAAATGAGGTGGATAACTGGATATGACATGGAAAATCCATTTACAAATTCATTTTTCTGGTTGTTATTTTTCAAAAATCTCCACTTATTTTTTTTTTGATAAGTAAAAATCTCCACGTTTTGGCTAAGAAACCTGAAAATTTTGGAATTTTCAGTGATTAATGTGTTATGTTTGTCACACACTCATATATCTATGTATGTGGGTATATACTTATATAACTTATGTGACCGAGCTTAACAAATTTGTGCTCATGGGGAGTGACTGGGAAGTTTTATTCAAGACAATATTGAAAAATTTAGTTTTGGTTCTTCGGTGGATTTATTATCTTCTTATCTTGCATAAAATATATATTGGTCCACTTGTGAAGAAAACTATTTATTGTAAATTTTTTTTTGTGACCACAGATTTCAGGAGCTTCTGATGTGTGTGTGTGTATGTATATAACTATATATAATAATATGTGTGTGTATGTATTTCAGTAAACATTTTTGGTTGGTATCAAGATGCACGGTATCAATATTATGTAATCTGTTGATTGCTCTGTTTTTAATACATTTCAAGTTTGTTTACTTTTATTTTCAATATTTTAGTAGTTTCTTTGGGTGTTCCACAAGAAATTGCATCATCATAAAAATTCTCAATTTTCTTTCAATTTGTGCTATATAGGAAGTATTGGAGGCTCATGATGGTGCAAGTAAAGGGAAATACACCATTGGACTTGGACAAGACTGCATGGGATTTTGTACAGAGGTGGAAGATGTCATCTCAATGAGGTTTTGCCTCTACTACTGATCCTTACTAAATTAAAACTCCACTCTCATTCTTCTTGATGCCACTTGTAGAGTTCTTCTTGAAAATCCACTAAGTGGATTCAATGTTGCTCTCATTCTTATCAATTAATTGAAGACTTGGAGCTGCATCGTCAACATCACATTTTAATTTAGAGTTTTATTGTAATATTTTACTAAGAGATATATGAATCATGGATCATAAATTTTTTTATCTGATTGACATGATATGTGGTATGCATAAACACGAGAAAGGTATGCAATCCAATGGTTGGATGAACTAAAGACAAATTTTATGTAGAATTATTGAGGGGTCTGACAATAAGTATTCAAACATTAAGTCTAAGTTGGTCATGCAAGGGAAGGGATCCGTTTATGCCTATTGTAAGAATAAGTTGATCTTACACCTGTTAATAACTTCTTATTTAACTGGATTTAGGATTCATACTTTTGGCAATCCAACTGTTAGATTTAATGTCCTTCCCACACTTATCTTGCATGCTAAAAATCACATTAATTGGAGATTTAGAGTCGTCTCATGATCCCATCAACATCCTTTTCTAATACCTTATTAATTATTAAGATAATATGAATGAATGAATGAATTAGATGATTATATTCTGGTTGATCAGATATTGGATATGCTGACAAACATGATAAATGTATATTAATTATTAAACAATGGGATTAACAATGGATGAATTGATATATAAAGTTATTGAGTGTAAGATTAGCTGTAAGTTGATTCTGCCCCTTCCAAAATTCTCATATTAGTGACATTTAGTCAGAGATTACTAATGGTCTTTTGGTTGATATATATATAATGAAAATATGTGTTCCTTTATGCTAAACTGCAAAGGAAACTGATTTCTGTTAATTTTTGTGAAATATATACTCAAGTTTTAAGTGCTCTATCAATTATTTATCATTCTTTCATATTGACACGTTTTGCATGAATAGTTTTGTGGTTTTTTCTTTTTGGCTAGTATCTCATTAGAAAGGTTTTTCAATTGATTCTGCAGTCTTTGAGTACTTGTTTGGAGAAAGTCATACTTTTTCTATGTTGTAAGAACAACTTTGAAATTTTGGTTCAAAAAGTTATCATTTTAGTAACTTTTCTTGCATTTTCAGTTTGACAGCTGTTACTTCCCTTCTTGAGAAATATGGGATTGATCCAAAGCAAATTGGTCGACTTGAAGTAGGCAGTGAGACTGTTATAGACAAGAGCAAATCCATTAAAACATTCCTGATGCAAATCTTCGAGGTACTAATCAGTTTCATTTTGATGCTGTTGCTTATTTCATTTGAGAATATTACTTATCTTCCTTGTGGCCGACCCTGTTCATATGGGATCAAGGCAAAGATGATGACGACGACCACTTGTCTTCTTTGTTGGTCATGGTGTGACTTAACTTTTTAGTTGTGACCATACTTTGGTGTTCTAGCTCCAGTTAATTGGGGTATAAGATGGTTCTGTATATTCAACCATTAACTGATTATACCCCTAGGTTTTACTTTAGAAGCAGAACATTTTTTTCAGAAGTTAGTAGCTAAAGGTTTGTCAAATAGCAAAAAGCCACTCAGTTCTGACTTCTGAGACTGGATCCATATATTTGTTATTGGGTTCAGGTTCTAAATTACCAGGCTCCTGTACTCTGCATAGGAAGTCCTTCTAAGTTAATTCATTTCTGGATTACCTAATCACCCCTGCTGTAAATCTTCCTCTACTGGTTCAGTGCAATTCTACATATATGAGTAATAGTGATAATGTCCACTTTCACAAATTTATTTTGCTCATTTGTCATGTGAAACAAGCAGGAATGTGGAAATACTGACATTGAAGGTGTTGACTCAACCAATGCATGTTATGGGGGAACTGCAGCTTTATTCAACTGTGTCAACTGGGTGGAGAGTAGTTCATGGGATGGACGTTACGGACTTGTTGTGTGCACAGACAGTGCGGTATGAACATTGCTTTTAGCCATTCGACTTTCGTTGGACTAAGATGAAAAATTAAATTTTGTTTTGTTAAAAGTTTGCTTAAACTTTAATAACTAGAAGCCTGAGCTAGGCCTACAGAGATGGGGCTTAAGCCAATACCAATAATTTGGACGAGGCATTGTTGATAAATTGATTGATTGGTATATTGTGCTGACAGAATTTCTCAATTAGCTATCTGTGTTGTCCTTTCTTAATTTGGGTTCCTTTGCTATTGGGAAGTCCAAGTCTTGTATGAGCAATGATTCGGAGACAATGGACTTTAAACTTTAGATGTATTTACATATTCCACAATCCACATTGCTGAAATAGTTTTTGTTTTATTATATACACCAAAACTCTTTTCTCCAAATTAAGGTATTAAGCAATCTATTCAGGGACACTATGTTCTCTTTTCTTACCAAAACTTCCTTTATTAGGTCTATGCTGAGGGACCAGCCCGGCCCACTGGAGGAGCCGCTGCTATTGCTATGCTAATTGGGCCTGATGCTCCTATTGCATTTGAAAGCAAATTCAGAGGGAGTCATATGTCTCACGCCTATGATTTTTACAAGCCCAACCTTGCAAGTGAATATCCGGTAATGCTCTCTGCATTCCCTTTTACTCCTATTTCATTTCACCCACACCATCAGCATTTTGTGCATTTGAATTGTACTTTGATCTTGGTTTCAAAAGACAAATCAAAGAAAAGACTTTTTTTTTTTTGTTTTTTGTTTTTGTGTGGGTAAATAAAGCATTTTAATTTCAACTCTATTATTTCTGTAACAAAATATAACATTTGATGGTATCGGGGCATATAGCAGAAGTAAAATAAACTTTCTTCTACGTCCTCCTCAACTTTTTTAAAAATTTTTTTTTTCCCGAAACAGTATATTGTGTTCTGCTGAAACTCAGTTCTATATTCTAAACATCGTCAATGTTCCACAAATGTGATAACCTTCTGCTCGGAAAATATATCCTGTTTACAGAGGGACAAGAAAAACTTGTTTTGGAGCCTCACTTTTCTCATTCTGATTTTAGAAAAGAACATTCTCAAAATTGGTTAATTTCATTAAGTTACTCAAACAACTTGCTCAGCTTTTCCCCTCGTAAACTTATGCTTGTCTTAATACGCAAGATCTGTTGTGGTGAACTTCATAATGATACATCAAACATGCTTGTTTATAATACAATACAATCATGTTAAATAATGTAAGAGGGATTTTCAAAGGCCTGACATGACAAAATGTTAGTTTCTATAGCTATAAAAAATTATGTAGAAATTAATGATGTCACGACTGTAAGGAAGAAACAATATTAACTTGCTACCTACATGCATGCTTTCCAATTTTTCAACAACGTTTAAACTTGCATTGATTTTTTGTAATACTAGTAGCTATGACAAAGAAGCCACAAAACGATATAGAATCTGAAGACGTAATAATACCCAGACTAGATTTCCTTACTGAATGCCTTAGCGGTTAGCACTTATTAAACAAACAAAAGAGTTGTGCTCTTATATTCATGATTTGTCGTTATTTTGAAGGTAGCTTGTTTAGCATGCTTTTTTTCTTACTGATTCTCATTGATTGACAAATTATGTTTGTAGGTTGTTGATGGGAAGCTTTCACAAACTTGTTATCTCATGGCACTGGATTCTTGCTATAAACGTTTCTGTAACAAGTATGCTTCCATTGAAATACCAGTAGTAGTTCCCTTTATCCTAATTTGGACTTTTGTGACTTATGTGTTATATTAATCACCTATCCACTTACTACAGGTATGAGAAATTCGAGGGCAAACAATTTTCCATGGCTGATGCCAGCTATTTTGTATTTCATTCTCCATATAACAAGGTATTTACCCAATGCAGTTAAGCTTTTGCATTTAATACTTTTTGGTTTATCCTTGCAATTCTTCAGTACGTACTTAAATAAATAGCTTGTTTGAACTTTTGTACTTGTTCCACTGCAGCTTGTACAGAAGAGCTTCGCTCGATTGGTGTTCAATGATTTTGTGAGGAATGCCAGGTGGTTACATTTTCATAATCCTACTTTAATACTGCTTTTCAGTTTTAGATTTTTTTAACCCCCATTTGATATGCTCTACTTGGTGATTAATGATATCTGCTTTTGTTTACAGCTTCGTTGATGAGGTTGCTAAAGAAAAGCTGGGACCTTTTTCAACTCTAACTGGTGATGAAAGCTACCAAAGCCGTGATCTTGAAAAGGTCTATTTTGAATTTTAATGAGCCTTTCCTCCCACCAACCCCCCATAATATATTCTTGAAAAAATTTCTTATTAGCGTTATCTCTAAATTCCATGTTATAACTTATGCCTCAAGGCAAACTAACTGAAGCCTAAATTAGATAGTGTGCTGGGTTACTAGGTATTTAGAATTATATAATTGTGGCTGTAACTCCCACTGATGAGCATTTAAATCCATCTACAGGCGTCCCAGCAAGTAGCGAAGCCCCTGTATGATGTGAAGGTGCAACCAACCACTTTGGTTCCAAAGCAAGTTGGCAACATGTACACTGCCTCTCTCTATGCAGCATTTGCATCCCTGATTCACAATAAACATAGCACATTGGTAAGTGCTTAAACAATTTTTGGGTTTTGACGGTTTGGCGTGCTCACTTTAAATACTAGGATCTTTCTTATAATTATATGATTGCTTTTATAACTTTCAGGCGGGTCAACGGGTAATAATGTTTTCATATGGGAGTGGCTTAAGTGCCACAATGTTTTCATTCCGTCTCCGTGAGGGTCAACATCCATTTAGCTTGTCAAACATTGCAACTGTGATGAATGTTGGAGAGAAGTTGAAGACAAGGCATGAGGTATGTTCCATTCTTGAAGATTTATTTTCAACCTCAATTCAGGCATGACTTGGGTTGGCTGCAGAAAAACTTGTATTGCTATTCAGTTCTTTCCTTGTTTACTTGAATCTAGTTTGATAAATTTGTATCCATGCAGTTTACTCCAGAAAAATTCGTCGAAACAATGAAATTGATGGAGCATAGGTATGGAGCCAAGGACTTTGTGACAAGCAAGGACTGTAGCCTTCTGTCTCCAGGCACCTACTATCTCACTGAAGTTGACTCCAAGTACCGAAGATTCTATGCAAAGAAGGATGGCCACAACACTGCTTCGAATGGCTCACTGGCCAATGGTCACTGATTCTAGGTTGAACATGATGAGCCAAGCCGTGATGTTCTCGGCACGTAGGCGAATAACTGTGTTTCATCAAGTTTATTTGATACAGGAATAGTTTGTACCACAGAAGTGTTAGCAGTCTATTTTTATTTTTATTCCTTCCAATGGAATTCCTTCTTACCCTGATTTTATCAGTAGTGCTTTCAAGACTTAAAAGGGACTTATTGGACAATCCCATTAAGGTCCTGGAAACATTACTATTGGGAAAGAAAGGTGTTGATATTGTTACATGAGCCATGTATTCTAATGTTGTAATGTTGGTAAGATTTAAAGATAATGCATTTTATTTGTCTACCTCCAGAAGTTGTGAGCGTATATATATATATATTAGTGGCACCAAATTGTAATTGTGTATGGAATCGAAAGAGGCATGTTAATCTTAAGTTTATGCTTTGGGAACACTTGAAAAACATAAATACGGAGAGGAGGACTCAATTTGGATTTTGTAGCAGTGAATGAGTTGATGATAGAATTTGAATTGGACAAACAATCAACCTGCTAGAAATTATAGAATTATTGATAGCTTTATGGAATACAGAAAATTATTGTGTGTATATATATATGTATATATATATATATATATATGTATTGTGGTTGAATTATAGGGAAAATTACATATAAATGGAGTCAAAGTTTCATATTTACTTAGAGGCTGAGTCAAAGTTTCATATTTCTCTAAAATGGATTGCTGAGGTGGCACATGGTTTTTTACTGTTTAGAAATTGTAGTGCCTAAAATACCCTTTCGCGAAGGTACTACTTTTTCTTCAAAGGTACTACTTTTTTGAACTGAAAGTACTACTTTTTGGCGTCCAGGTACCATATTTTTTAAACACCCGCGAAGGTACTACTTTTGAACTGAAGGTACTACTTTTTTGAACTGAAGGTACTACTTTTTTGTTAGGGAAGGGCATTTTAGGCACCATAATTTTCTAAACAGTAAAAAACCATGTGCCACCTCAGCAATCCATTTTAGAGAAATATGAAACTTTGACTCAGTCTCTAAGTAAATATGAAATTTTGACTCTATTTATATGTAATTATCTCTTGATTATATGCAAAGAGGGGAACTTGGAAAAATGACTTGCCTTATTTGGGCTGGGCTTTGGACAATCTTCGATCTAATATGGTCCACCTACAAGGACAGATCATAACAATTGGTCAGCATACCGTCAATCAACACGTGTCACCATCTTACAGGTCCACTATCTATACAATACAATATATCCACCGTTGTTATCTTTTTCCATTACACAGACGTAGATTATACATATAATACTCTTACCATTTTCTCTCAAAACAATCACGTCCTAGGGTTTGTTCCTTTTCCATAGGTCATGACCTCTCTCACTACCCAGTACCACATCCCCATCGAAAACCCAAACTTTCTCGGGAATTTTCCATTCCTACGATCAAATAAGCATCTGGTTCTCTTCATTTCCTTGTATTGATTCAAATATGTCGTCTTTTCAAGACCATGAGATCGACACAGATAATGACTCCGGCAATATTTCCGATCTCAGCAACAGTGCCGGTGAGCTCAGAGACGATAAAAATGGACTCTGTCGATCAGCGATGATTCAACCCGTTTTGAAAGAAGAACCGATTGGATCCGATCCGGATTTTCCGGATCAGAATCCTAACAATCCAGAAGGACAGGCACCTCTCGGGATGTTACAGTTGATGCAGATGCAAGTACCCACTCCGGTGCCGCTGCCGGTTGCTACTACAGCACGGCGGTCGTCGACCAAGGACCGCCACTTGAAGGTGGAGGGACGTGGCCGGAGGATCCGAATACCCGCTACTTGTGCGGCCCGGATCTTCCAGTTGACCCGAGAGCTCGGCCACAGGTCCGACGGCGAGACCGTCCGGTGGCTCCTCCAACACGCCGAGGAAGCGATCATTGAGGCCACTGGAACCGGCACCGTCCCTGCGATAGCAGTCTCCGTCGCCGGAACCTACAAAATACCGACGACGTCGTCTTCATCGGCAAATCAAGCCGGTGAAACCCACAACCCCCCGAACAAGAGACGAAAACCGTCGAACAGCGAGTTCCACGAAGTGGGTTCAAACGACAGCGTCTCTCAGGTCGCCGGACTAGCACCTGTGGGACCCACAAAGGTCGCCGGAGCTACACAAGGTTTGGTGCCCATTTGGGCGGTGAGCAATGCTGGAATGATGATACCCTCCAACGCTTTGTGGATGATGCCGCCGGGGGTAGCGGGAGCTTCGAACTTCAATCAGCCTCAGTTATGGACGATAACGCCGTCGGTGACGCCGGTTTTCGAAGCGCCTCGCCTGCAGGCGGCCGTCAGTAGTACGGCTGGTGGAATTGAAAATCTGGCGATGTACAATAGCCAGATGACTTCCGATATGGTGGCAGTGGGCGGAGCAAAGGCGGGGACAAAGAAGTCGAGTATGGCGGCTGCGAGTGTGAGCTCCGGTGGGACAAAGGCTCAGATGTTAAGAGATTTTTCAATGGAGATTTATAATAAGAAGGAATTGCAATTTATGGGTGGGAATCAACAAACACAACCTTCTTGTTCGGAGCCATGAGAGAGATGGAGATCCACAGTGATGAATTCAAATACATACATGTTTGTGGATGTTTTTGTGTTTTGGAGAGGTATAACTAACTGTTTACTTTTGTTATAGCCACAGTGATGTATGCAAAATCATACTCGCAGTTAGAATTTTTTGGTTAGGAATTTTGAGATGTTACATGTAACTGTGAATTTAAATGCTTTCTAGATCTTCTAATTTCATTATCTAAACATGTTGGATCTTTTACACAACAAAATTATAAAAAAAAAATTTCTTTGGGTGGAAGGTGGTTCAATTTTATATTAATCTGTTTTCAAGAACAATGAAAATATACAGTTTTTGATAAATTAAAATAAAACAATTCTCACATAGCAGCATAATAAGATGTTCTTTTGAATTTGGCTTTTTTTACTCTGTTTTCATATAATTGGATATTAAGTCTTATTTGCAAAAGGGAAAATTATGTCATAGGCTCTCTCAAATGAGTTTGTCCTTGATTCAAAGGATTGTAAATTTGCTTCTTACAAATTTCTTTAATAAATTTTGGTCTTTGAAAATAGAAATAAGAATTGCTGTAGTAAGTAGTCCAAGATTTACTAGTTAAAATGGTGGAGTTCAAAATTTTATTTTAGTAGTTCAAAAATGAACAATATTCCATTCTATACTATTCCTAAGTCATCTTCTAAATAAGAATTGTGATATCCCTTTGAATTATAGTCATACTGATAATTCGTTTACAGTGAAGGGTTATCATTATCACGTTTTGTCTCAAATTCTCACTATTTATAATATAATTTTGCGACTTTCACTCTAGAATTCTAGAATTCGGTCTGACTTTACATGACTTAGATTGTATAGATAGGCTTGGCATCAGTTTTGTTGTATTTAGGTTCAATTGTTGTTGGGTCTTATATGCTTTTTTTATTTGGGCCAGCCACATCATGTTGGCTTCTTCAAAAATTGGATGGATTTCTTGATTTAATGTGATATATTTGATCAATTAGTAATAAGGTATTCACTTTTAATTATGGTCTTAGAATTTTTAATCTGATGAGTTTTTCTTTTTTACTATATTAGAAAAATTACTAATTTTTACTATTACCATCAAAATACTATTAAAGTGAAATGACAATATATTAGACCCTTCTTTAAAAATTCACTAATCCAGTTAACAATTTGAAAATAAGTTTGAGCTGTTTTCATTGATTTAATTCAAGAAATTAAAAATTTTGTTTTGGGACAACATGGAGATGGCATAAGTTTACAATGTGATTGTTAATCTATAAGGACTAATTGTCGTTATAATTATAGTGAAATTTTGTTTTGGGACAACATGGAGATGGCATAAGTTTCAACTTTCAACAACATTCTGAATTTGTTAATTTACAAAAAGATTGTTCATCAATAAGGACTAATTGTCATTATAATTACAGTGAAATTTTTAACAATAAACTAATGAATTAACACAACACTTTGTAGTTTGTACTCTAGAAGGAAATGATTATTTTTAATTTTTTAACAATATATATATTTCAGATTTTTGTTAAACCATCCGGAATTGGATTTTGTACCATACATGGTTTATACTTTTTGAAGGAAGAATATTTTCTGCTTGAACAATATTGTACAGAAAAATATTCTTCTTCAAAAAGTATAAACCATGTATGGTACAAAATCCAATTCCGGATGGTTTAACAAAAATCTGGAAAATAACACATCTTTCTTCAAAAAATATATATATATATATATATCTAAACAATGTATGGTATAAACCATATATATACATTTTTATTAATTATTATTATTATTATTATTTTTGTCACAAGTCAGGTCAGATTAACACATCTTTAATAACGTAAATCTAAGCTATTTATTGTCATAAATAGATTGACAGCCCTAACAAAGTGGAACACTTCAAAGACATTAATTAAATGTACAATTTGTCCTCTATAATTTGTAATACACGAACAAGCTGCAATCAACAACACTAAAATTATAATTCTGTCTGACGAAATTAAGGACTTCCACAAACACTCTCTCTAAAATGTACAACACTAGGGATGCACGATACAGTGAAATGATACGAACAAGAAAACCCACACCCACACCCACACCCACCCACACACACACACACATATATATATTGAGAAAGCTGGAGGAGGTAGAGAGAGAGAGTACATTATAATTGTACTAAGTGCCAGTTAACATATCCTAATTAAATAATATGTTACGGAAATAACAAGAACCAAAGCTTGCTTATAAATACATGCAAGCATATAGTCCATAATGGGCAAGACATACACTTGTACCATAAACATATTAATTGGCCTCTAATGGCCAGTTCAAGCTTTTTCTCTCTTCTATACTCCTTATTGCTTATTGCTCTTGTGTTAAAATGTAACTGCCATGAAAAGAAGGTATAATGGGGTTTTCTAGGATTCATTAATGCTCTTTTGATACAGAGAATTTGTTAATATATATGTGTGTGTGTGTGTGTGTGTGTGTGGTTGTTTTCTGAGATTTTGAGCTCATGTGTAGGTTTATGTTGTGTACATGGGAGATCTGCCTAAAGGGGATGTGTCAGTTGCATACCAACACCATTCCATGCTCAAAAATGTTCTTGGGAGGTTGCTACAATTACCATTTCTACTAAATTATATTTCCGTTGTAGAATTCAACTTTTTATTTTATTTTATTTTTTATTTTATTTTAAGCATAGTTAGTAAATAATCGTACTATTTACATGTAACAAAGGTAAGTATAAACAAAAAGAAAAAAAAGATAGAAATTTGAGTAATGATTTAAGTTTCACAGAGCTTCAAAAACGAATATGAGAGGATTTGGTGTGACCCACAAACTCCTTTCATATTTAGATTCGAGATCTTCATTACTCTATTGATATTTTATTTTAGGTTGCATGAAATTTATCTCTTAGAATTGAAAAAAAATTAATTCATTTATCAAATTTTAATTTTAAAATTTCAATTTCATGCATCCCAAAATAGCATAAATATATTACTTTAAGGAAAAGTAAATGACTGCATAAGAGTGGTACTTACATACACGAACATGGTAACTCTGTATAACAGTATTACTTATCTACATAAAAATGGTACCTCTATACACAAGGGTAGTACCCTACTCACTCAGAGAGTGGTACCTTTATCACAAGAGTAATACTTATATATACAAAAGTGATACATCTGTGCACAACAAGAATAATACTTACATGCACAAAGGTGGTACTTAAAAATACTAACATAGTTTGGACAAATGAATAGTATTTTTCCAGACTTTGAAAAGCGCCGACTTTAAATAGACTCCCAAAACTCCACTTTTCTATAATTCTCCTTAAAAATATCAAGTAATGCATTATCAGTTTATATAGACCTCTATACTCTTGCAAACTCTCTCTCAAGCAATCAAATTTGTGCAATTACAGTGCTTCATCAGCAAAGAAGTCACATATATATAGTTACAAGAGGAGTTTTAATGGATTTGCAGCGAAACTAACTGATGATGAAGTCGCAAGGTTTTCAGGTAAGGTTGTCACACAAGTATATCAATGCAGAATATAAATATTTGTTTCTTCGTCTTTATACTTGAATAAAATTGTCATGGGGTTGCAGAAATGAAGGAAGTGATGACAGTGATTCCAAACCGCAAACTAAAGCTTCACACCACAAGGTCTTGGGACTTCATGGGTTTACCTAAAGGCAAATTGGGAGGTTCTAAAGAAGGAGATATCATCGTTGGGCTCCTGGACACTGGTAATATCTAAATCTAATAGTCGAAGTCACTCTTACCGGCCTGCTTTGTTGTTCTCTGTCGTAGCATTTTCATGTTCGTGGTTTTTATAGGAGTCTGGCCGGAAGCTGATAGCTTCAACGATGAGGGGTTTGACCCTCCACCTGCTAAATGGAAAGGAACATGCCAAGGTGCCAATTTCACCTGTAACAAGTAAGAAATAGTAAGAATTAGTTCTTCTTCACAGTAATTAATTAGCATAGAGACCAGCTAATCAAAGAGATTGTATGCTGATGATTTAAAACACAAGCATGAACAATAAAAGGACTAAGCTCAGTTTACAACTTGTATAACCTAACAAATGCAGATTATGCAGTAAAAAAATCCAACTGATATAAAACTTTAGTGTTTATTATACAACGTAAGAGACTGATGGAACGTATGAAATCACAGCAAGCTCATTGGAGCAAGATACTACAACAGCGAAGGCAGTTATGGCATTACAGACTTTCAATCCCCTAGAGATGCAGAAGGGCATGGAAGCCACACTGCCTCAACGGCTGCAGGTGTGGAGGTGGCTGGAGCAAGCTACCTTGGACTAGCTGAAGGAGTGGCCAGAGGTGGAGTTCCAGGTGCAAGGATCGCAACATACAAAGTTTGTTGGGTCAACCGTGGATGTGCTTTGGCAGATATCCTAGCAGCATTTGACGATGCAATTGCAGATGGTGTTGACATAATATCAGTTTCTCTAGGATCTGACTGGCCAGACCAGTACTTCGATGACCCAATTGCCATTGGATCATTCCATGCCATGAAAAAGGGAATACTGACCTCAAATTCTGCTGGAAATTCGGGCCCCGACCCAGCATCTGTCTCCAACTTTGCACCCTGGACACTAACTGTCGCGGCTAGCGACATTGACAGGAATTTTGTTGCCCAGGTGGTGCTTGGCAATGGACAAGTCCTCACTGTAAGTGAAAAATCTGCAGAACATGATTAGCTGTTCAAGAACATCTGCGATTTATCAAATACTAACACAATTTCTATTTCCTTAATGCTTGACTTGACAAAATGAAGGGACACTCAATTAATAACTTTGACCTCAATGGAACCTCGTACCCATTGATCTGGGGAGGAGATGCAGCAAACTTTACAATTGGTTCTAATCCAGACTTTTCAAAGTACTGCGCTGAAGTTCCTGCCATGAATTCATACCAAGTGGAAGGAAAGATTGTTTTTTGTGAAGCGCTTACTGATGGTTCTGCGATTCTACTCACTAATGGTGTGGGTACCATCATGACCCAACAGTTAATACAACCTGATTTTACCTTTAACTACCCATTACCAGCAACATTTATCAGCACTGAAGATGGTGTCAAAGTTTCGGATTACATCAGATCAACAGAGTAAATGAACTTATGAACATATATATATATATAAACTAGGAAAATATATACATATATATCATCTTTAATGATATATGATTGTTCCGCGATGGATATCTTAATTTTGAAGCTAGTTCTAGAATTTTCTTAACAAAGTAATCTCCACCTTTTTCAGAAATCCCATTGCCACTATTCTGGTTGGTGAGACTTGGGAAGACCTTGTGGCGCCAGTTGTTGTCTCATTTTCTTCCAGGGGACCAAGCGCAATCAGCCCAGACATTCTCAAGGTGATCAACGGTTTCTTCCTTATGATCGAGTGATTCTGTCACTCGTCACTGTTGTGTCTAAGTTTGTCTCTTTATGTTGTATTGATGATGAGCAGCCTGATCTCACTGCTCCTGGTGTGGACATCCTTGCTGCCTGGTCTCCCGTGTCACCGCCTTCCATCTACTATGATGACACTAGGAGCGTCAAATACAACATCATCTCCGGCACATCCATGTCCTGCCCTCATGCTAGTGGTGCCGCTGCATATGTCAAGGCTGCCCATCCAGACTGGTCTCCTGCTGCTATTAAATCTGCCCTCATGACCACAGGTGAGTAATAAGAGATGCCACCTCTGTTGACATTGATATTATATATGTAAATATTTATATGGCAAGTAGCAAATCCCATTAATCAAAATCAAAGCAATAAAATTTTCTATTGGTTTCTATAGACACAAAGTAAGGATAAATTGCTCCTGGTTGATTTTTGCAACCATGATATGTACATTGCTACCATCAGATGAATGAAAATGTGGACCCTCATGCTACTCTTGCAAATACACATCCCCATTGATGCTCCACATCCAGAGGTTTAATCCCATTTATTATAAGAACAAAACCAGCATAACGGAATTCTATTTTTTTAACAACAGGAAAGTGATACTAAAACTAAATGCAATTGATTTTTCACGTTACTTTATTCTTTATTATCAGCTTATGTAATGGACCCGAGGAAGCATGCAGACCTTGAATTCGCTTATGGGTCTGGTCACATAAACCCGGTTGCTGCTGTTGACCCCGGGCTAGTATTTGATGCATCTGAGGCAGATTATGTTAACTTCCTCTGCAGGCAAGGCTACAACACATCAACTCTAAGACTTGTCACTGGAGATGACAGTGTATGTGATGGCATTAAGCCGGGAAGAGGATGGGATCTCAACTATCCATCATTGTCGCTCTATATGTTAGATGGGCAGCAGATCATGGGTGTCTTCACCAGGACAATGACCAATGTTGGCGCATCAAACTCTACCTATACAGCAAGTGTGTACATACCCGCCACTGTTAGTGTTACAGTGGAACCATCGGTCCTGACGTTCTCTGCAGTTGGAGAGAAGAAATCATTCACAGTGAAGGTCAACGGGCCTACGATTACACAGCAGCCGATCATGTCGGGTGCTATCATGTGGAAAGATGGATTCCATAAGGTGAGAATCCCACTTGTGGTTTATAACTATATTCCTGGCGCTCCCTATATTCTCGACAGCCAGTCCGTGTCCGAGAAGAAGTTGACTTTCAAAGGTTCCTCAATATATCACAAGAATGGGATAGTAGGACACAAATAAACATAAAAGATTCTCATACTAAGGTTCAATCCGTGTTTGAGGCTGCAGATCATCCTTGTAATGCCTCTATTAAGTTCTATAAGTTGAAGGTGTCTACTTTTTATGGTATAAAAATGTGAACCTTGGACAGGACTTAGTCACACCCATGAGAAATGTAGGGGTCCGAAAGATGACATGTCAAGTTTACTTCCTCTTTGAGATATTAATAAAACTGAAAATAATAACACTCGGGCACTCCCCCCTAATGGAGATTCAAATGTCCCTTCTGTGTATGTGTGTGTCTGTGTGTGTGGGTGGATAGATGTGTCCACTACTTTCAACGCATTCCATCCTCTGTTCGTCAATGCAAATTGGATACTCTGTTCATGAACACACGGCAAAAGGTTATATGGGTGTGAGGCAAATTGGATACTCTGCTCAAGAATCTATTGCATGTCATACTCTATCAATTACTACTCGTAAAGAGAAAAAAATTGGATACATTTTGCATGTCATTCTCTGCTTGTGAATAGCTTTTCCAGCTATCATATATCTATTTGACATTCATTCTACAATCTTTGAATACTAAGCTCCATTTGTTTTAAAGCAAACCATTCTCCATAGGAAAATATTTTTCATGTATTACAAGTAAAATAAAATTTGAAATCTCATTTTCCGGGGTGAGTGGCTAAAATTCTAAAAACAATTTCAAAAAAATAAAAATATATCTCTTCGAAGGTACAAGTCAAAACAAAGACAATTCACTCTTTTATTTGTTATCAGTTATTCGATCAAACAGATGGTGTGCACATAAAACCTGCTGGCATTGAAATTCTCCCAAAAGTGCAGTGTCATCAAGAACCAATCGTAACAACAAGAAGATGTGCTGGGCCGTGAGAAAAACGGAAGAGCAAAAATCAATGAAATATGAAAAATAACAGTGCACAACAAATGGCAATGCAAATCTGGAGAATTCAAAATCACAATCCTCTATCAACACACAAACCCAATTGGAACTAGTTTTGCGATCTTACCTCATCATCAGAGTTTGCCATTACGAAATCCAAACAAATATTTGAATGCCATGTTTGCTGCCCAATGTGAGAAAATTGTTGCCGGAAGTCGGGTGATAATCACCGGCACTAGAAATTGGTTACTTTGCACATAACAATATTGATCACTTGATTTTATTTATTTTTTATATCTCATACACAGAGATGTAATGTAACATTTTAAATAAATTATTATGACTGAAGAAAGTTAGCGTTTTTTCATAACAGTAACCTGAAAAATGGAAAAAGGACCAAAAAAAAAAAAAAATAAATAAAATAAAAATAAAACATTTCATTTACTTTGACAATTTTTATTTTTGAGAATTGAACGGAATAATTTTCAAACTTTTGTAGGGATGTCAATTTAACTAGTTCCGCTAGGCCCGCCCCTATTATGACATGTTTGGAATCATTTTAATGAGGACAGTGTAAAATAATAAATAAGTAAAATAATAAATAAATAAAATAATTGGGTTAGTGACGAAGAGTTTAAAACTCACAAAATCCCTAACTCACCTTAATTAATAATTATTATACAAATAAAGTAATATTTATTTAACTATAATTTTTCTAAAAAAAAATTACAAAATTTATCTTCCTACAAAGATAGCTCAAATTAAACACAAATTATTAAATGTTGTTGATTATTTAACAGAGTATTATCAATAAGATAATATTAAAGTTAACATATTTAATTAATATAAATTAAACGACTGAGAATTTTAATCAAAATAGGATTGCATTAAACTATACAAAATTTAAGAGTTAATTATAGTTATTATACTTATTTTGTGTAACAACAGTAAAATAAGTATAATAATAATATTATTAAAGCAATAGTAAAGTCACCATTTTGCTATTAGGTATAACATTTTTTTTTTCTTTTTTTTTCAAAGTTACCTGGTATAACATCTTTAGAGATGAGGTGTTTGAGCCCACAGAAGGATGCATTTGTGGATATGTGGTGGGTATTTACGTAATAAAAAAAAAATATATATTAAAGTTGATTATTTTGTTTATAATTTTTAAAGAGGGTTAAAGGATGCAAGTTTGCTTTATTAGAAACATGAAATTTTTTAATCATTCTATACTCAACAAGTATGCGAGTTTGCTTTTAGAATGAGATTTTTTTATTTTTCCCAGATTTTTAAACCATCCTGAATTCGATTTTGTACCACATGATTTATACTTTTTGAAGAAAGAATATTCTCTGCTTGAACAACATTGTAAAAAAAAATGTAATACACAGTCATCTAATTTCCATGTATAATATTTGACCAATTAACTCTTATAATTGTGTTGGAAAATTATAATTTGGTGATCAAACTTAGACAAAATTGTTGTAAAGTGATCTTAAAGTCTAGAAAAGAGAAATAGTCACCAATTTTCAAACTTAATTGCTAATAAGTGACCATTTGATGGTTTGTTACATAAATATCCTTATTGTAATATATATATATATATATTTAATTGAACAAATTTATTCTCAACATTAAACACTTTTGTTGTCCGACAATCAAAGGATAAGATGAAGAGGGAAGGAAATGGAGGTGTATTTGAATGGTGTTGTGATTTTTAATCTTTTATCATGTGAATAAAATGTATATGTACATATAATTAGATCAATCTTGAAATTATATAAATCCATATAAATTATAACTATGGATATAATATTCTTAGTTTTGTGCTCAGCATGTTTTTTGACCATTTGATGGTTTGTTACATAAATATCCTTATTGTAATATATATATATATATATTTAATTGAACAAATTTATTCTCAACATTAAACACTTTTGTTGTCCGACAATCAAAGGATAAGATGAAGAGGGAAGGAAATGGAGGTGTATTTGAATGGTGTTGTGATTTTTAATCTTTTATCATGTGAATAAAATGTATATGTACATATAATTAGATCAATCTTGAAATTATATAAATCCATATAAATTATAACTATGGATATAATATTCTTAGTTTTGTGCTCAGCATGTTTTTTGATCATGGCGGAGAGTCATGAATAAAAAATAAAAAAAATAAAAAAAAGTTAATAAAGAAATTCTAAATGTAAGATATATACATATTATAGAAAAAGTTATTAAAGAAATCCTAATTTTTTAATTGGTAATTTGCAAACTAAAAAGGGAAAAATAGAACAAGAAAAAGAGGAGATGAATCCACAATTTTTTCATCTAAATTTTATTTTTAGAAAATTTTATAAACAAATATTTTTTGACCAAATCGTCTTCAAATGGTTACTTATTAGCAATTAAGTTTTAAAAATGGTCACTAATCATATTTTCTTGACTTTAAAGTCACTTTTTAACAATTTTGTTTATGTTTGGTCACCAATATCTAATTTTCTCCTTAACCAAATGTAAGAACCCAATAAACACGCCGGAAAGTTCTTAGGCTCCGTTACGTGAAATTGAAGGGGAATTGAATTGAAAAAAAGCAACTCACAAAAAACAAATATTTTTTGACCAAATTGTCTTCAAATGGTTACTTATTTTTAAAAAATGGTCGCTAATCATATTTTCTTGACTTTAAAGTCACTTTTTAACAATTTTGTTTATGTTTGGTCACCAATATCTAATTTTCCCCTTAACCAAATGTAAGAACCCAATAAACACGCTGGAAAGTTCTTAGGCTCTGTTACGTGAAATTGAAGTGGAATTGAATTGAAAAAAAGCAACTCACAAAATTAAACCAATTTTTTTTTTAATTTCATCAATTCCAATTTCAAGGCATCAATTCCATGGAATCGAAAGCAGCCTTAAGTCAATTTCTTTTACATGAAAATTATTCTTACATCCCTTATTGACATCAGATCATTAGATCATATATTTGATTTATTTTTGAATATATATATATTTTTAATAAACTTTTCATTAATGACTTTTACTCTATACAAAATCAGCTGAATGTTACTCGAATAACACAAGCAACAAATATGATTTACTGATATGCTCAATCTAAAATTTCTACAAAATATAATATATATGTCTAAACTCCACACCCATCAAAATCAACCCTCATCTTTCCCTTTTCAATTTTATTTAGAGCAGAATCAGCTATCCGCTCCAAGTGCATATTACACATCTAAAAATGTTCAAAGCAGAGTTGTTCTTGTGATGATGGTTTGACAGTAATTTCCACTAGGATTTCACCATATCTTAATTAAAATCCTATTCAAATTTGGTTTATCAGGATGACTAATTAATTAATAAATTCATAAGAATCATAAGACTAGAGAAAAACAAAGGGTTTGGTTCAGTTATCTAACTACAGTTTTATATTTTTTAAAAAGTACAGAAGAAAAGAAATTAATATGTGCGACTCAGTGACGATATAAAACAAAGACCAATCTCATTTTAAACTATTTTTTCACCATTTTTTTTCTCCCTCTACCCACACTCTCTCTCTAAAACTCACATAAAACTAAACCTTAAACCTCAAACATCAAAATCACAAATTATATATAGATTAGTTAATTAAATTTATAACAAATCAGGTCAATTTGAAGCATCTTTACTAACGTAAATTTTCTGTTCCAACTCAGCTATTTACAGTCATAAATCGATTGACAAACCTAACAAAGTGAAAAACTTCAAAGACATGATTTAAAGGTACAATTTATCCTCTATAATTTGTAATACATGAACAAGTTGCAATCCACAACACTTAAATTATAAATCTGTCCCCAAAATTAAGGACTCCAACAAATTTTATCTCTAAAATGTACAAGACTAGGGGTACATGATACAATGAAGTGATACAAACAAGAGAACAAGTACAATCGTCCATATATATATATATATATATATATATATATATGTATAGAGAGAGAGCTGGAGCTAGGAGAGAGAACATTATAATTGTACTTAGGCAAGAATCACAAAAGCAGAAGCTAGAAACCAAGGACGGCCTTCTAATTAATTGCCAGTATCCTCATTAAAGTTGTATATATATATAGAGAGAGAGAGAGAGAGCTGGAGCTAGGAGAGAGAACATTATAATTGTACTTAGGCAAGAATCACGAAAGCAGAAGCTAGAAACCAAGGACGGCCTTCTAATTAATTGCCAGTTACATATCCTCATTAAAGTTGTTACGGAAATAACAAGAACTAAAGCTTGCTTATAAATATATTCAGACCTATAGTCCCTAATGGCAAACACATAGACTGGCACTAGAAACA